TTTTTCGAGTAACTTGGTAACTTTCAATTACAATTTGATTTGGGTAATTAGTAGTTTAACTTAACTACTTTTTCAGGTAACTTCTACTCAAATTACTAACTACTTTCGAAATTATATAGTGCTAATTTTGCCCATCACGAAAGTTTGAGCGCAGAAATGAATAAGACGCCGGCAGATAAAATGGCATTCCCGAACAAGGCGGCCCCTTGCTCGGGAAGGCGTCCTTGGGCCAAGGTGGCGACGAGCAGCCAAAAACATAACACCGGCACGCACGAACGCAGGAAGAGATGCTTAACAAGCCTTGGTCGGGTATTGACCTAATCCGGTAATGCATGCAGGCGCCGCGTTTTTAGCTGCAACCATGAAAGACGGGGACACTACGAGAGTTGCTATTGTTTTCGTGTTGTCTGTCTTTAGTGAGTTCTGACTCAAGCGGTAGGTTCCACGGGAGGCGCCACTGGAATGACCTCGCAGCTGAGCGCCTGTTCCCATGGTCGCTTTGTCGCCAGCGCATACGCCTTTGCAAAGCCGGACTCCCCCGCGCACCAACCCTGGCACGGATAATCCGTTCATGGGAGCACGTTCCCGCTTCCAGCTGCAACTGTATACGAGCGACAATGCTTGTTCACGTAATCCTTCGCGTCCTTCCGACCATCCATGCCTGGGAGACCTCCTCTGTGTTAAAAACGATTTACTTGTCAGGCGTGTCAGGCGCATCAGAATATTGTAGTCGCCAGGGAGGATTGCGAGTTACCTTTGAGAGATCATTTTGTTGGACCCGACGTCATCATCTGTTAAACCAAAACAATTGCTGTTGAAGTTAAAAGATTGTCCTGTCTGTATCGTCCCTTATGTGTCTCTACTTTCTAAATGTTACCGATTGTCGTGCCTTGTGATCATGAGGGTAAGGGAAATATCATACCTCGACCTGAAGGGCGCTGTGTGCACTTAATCAATTTATAAATACGCTTTCGCGTACCCACGGTCTGCTGATCCCGCCAGCAGCGCGGAAAGCGGCTCGAAGCAATCGCAGGCCTCGAGAGACTTGTACGCCTGCACCGTGTCGGCCGGGAACTGACTTAGCAAAAAAACAAAATCAATGATGACGTGAGCCATCTACGTCCGTGGCTGCAACTTCATGTCGAAACTAAAGCAGTCCTTGCTTACGGTGTACGGATCGTCTAAGGCAACGCCGTCCACGCAAAGTTTGTGTCAATATCGCTGCAATTCAGGCTCGGGTAGCGAGCTGAAATAGTCTGGCGTAACATAAGTTGACAAGAAATACGACGCACAAATGAAGCTAGAAGTGTCTCTACAACGTCAACAACGAGCGCACGCCACACAACACAATGGCGAAAACACGGAGAGCCTTGCCGTTTCTGTCCACATAGCTTCTGCGCATGCGTGGCGTTCGGCCGTGTTGGTACACAGACCCCGAACATCCGGATAAGACACGTAAAGAAAACTAGATCCACCTTTTGTCGGAATAAACCAACAGGACCGTTTGCAAAAACATTGAACATCAAAACACCCAAACGTACAAAACAGAAAAGAAAGGACACCAAAGCAAGGCCGTGGAGGAGGAAGCAGGCGGAACTCTGGAGAGAGCAGAAGGTTTTCCTCTCTCCTCTCTAGGGTTTTGCCTGCTTCTCCCTCCCCAGCCTTCCTCTCCCTCGCCCTGCCTCCTTGAGAGGAACCTGTCGGCACTTAGGTTGGAGGGTGACCTTCCAAAACAAAACAGAACGATGAGGTTTGTAGAAATCTTAACTCGGTATGTAAACTAAGGAACGGAGCATTTACTGCATTAAAATGATGAATGATAGTGAGAGACTCTTTTACTAACCGCTTGTGATCATCTCTCTCGGTTAAGATAACTGAGGTGGACTACCAAAGAGGTAAACAATTATTGCAATCAATAACTTGTTTTTACCATTCTGAGAAGGGGTCCTTGCTCTTAACGCAACGTTTGCATTCGCTTAATCGGTCATTGAGGCTACGCTTGGTTTGCTTTATGTAACAGAGGCCACAATCAAAAGGAACTCTGCAGACTACACCCGACACATAACTGACATCCTTTTCTCTGTGCTGTTTTGTACATGAAGTTTTCCCGGAAACAAGCAGCGTCAATTTTCGCGGAAACAAGCAGCAGAGGCGAATTCCGCCAATCGCGTCGAGGCAAATCCTGGTCGTTACGTCACGAAAGGAAACCATCAGAGGGGGCCACCGAATCTTCTCGGCACTAATATACAGGGCATCCCTAGGGCCAGATCATAGCGCACTCAAGTCGGTGGGATATATCCTCGATGGCGACGTCACGCTGATGGCGCCGCGACGTTCATGCGACGTAATCACGACATTTTAGAAAGGTTCGCCACGACGTCACAACGTGAACGCCGTAATGGCGTCAGTGTCACGACCGACGTCACGTGACACTGGCGTCACGTGACATCGGTGATTAAGCAGAAAATGTGCATTACTGCGCGGACCCGGCCAGATTTTATAACGCTTCAGCCGTCTGTTGGCCGTATTCGAGGAATCGAGGCTAAGTAGGTAATTGAATCCAAGAAATGCCCAAATGGTACAGGGGATAAGAAGCGCCCGGCTCTTAATTATACATTATCTTCTAGGTTACAAACTACGCTCTCTATTAAATTTACGCCTGTTGCAGTTCACAGCCTTCTGAAAGGTGCCGTGATAAATATACATTTTGTTCTAGATTATAAATCTTGTTCAGCTTTAGATTTTATCAATCTAGAACTGAACAATCTTGTAACCTTGTATCAATTCAGTTCTAGATTTGAAATTATGTTTCAAATGAAAGTTCTACTTTTCATTCAAGATACACGTTCCGCAGTACGGGCATACCGCGACGCTTCGTTTTATAGATAAAAACGTTGTACAACGTTTTATAGATAATAACGCTGCACAACATTGAAGCAAAAACGGGAACGACAAATTGTCTCTCATAACGCAATCACTACACTCATACCTGTGAAAAATGCAGGCCGAGGGAAAACGGGCCAAGCCACCTGGAAATTAGCAGAGCGGATGTCAGAAAGCTCATGCGTCAGGTAGGTTGCAGTTGTACACACACTGCTCTACGGGGAGGAGAGCAGAGCCACGTCTTCGCCACAGTGAGACGCATTGAATGAAAGAGTTTCTAATCGGGTGGTCCGCTTCGAAGACGAAACTGTGATTGTGCGTGAGTATGAGCCTTTTTAAGTGTCCAATCTCTGCAGCCAACCATGCGAGTGTCCGTTGTAAAGAGCGAGGAAAACGTGCGTCGTACGCTCGGGCACTCAAAATAGTGCCGGGACAGAAGTTAGTTCTAGTAAGCGGTGGGAACAGGACATATTAAAACTTGGAACGCTATGTCAGTCCTTGAAGTCAACGGGAGTATGCAAGCCAGCTGGTCAAGTACATTGTAACCCTGGGGCGTGTGGAGGGACAGTCATAGCTTGACAAGCTCCTATAGATATCCCCGCTCACCATGATTGGTGATTTCCTCCTTTCCACTCGCCTCCTTTCCGGCGTTCTTTCAACTAAAGTGGAAAGAGTGGAGGACTTCGCAGGAGGGGCCCGAGCTGCAGTTCTTAGCTCGCATCAGGCTGCAGACAAACGCAAACACGGAGCTTCCTGTTTTTGTTTATCCCGGTCTTACCTACGCTTGAGGGTTACAATATTTACTCCTTGAATGAAAGCAGGTCGGTTTTATAAGGTTGAAATAGGCGTAAGACATGCAATAGAAATAAATGGCGAAATCGGTGAACACAACGAGAGAGGAATGTGTCAATCCAGCCCAGTTCGTCCTCAGCTTGTGCTGCCGGACGGCGAGCGTTCAACAAGACACGTAGAGGCTTCGCTTGCGGTTTTAGCCCAACGTTGGCTGGCATTCTGAGGCCTCCAGGAGTTTCCTTTCAAAGAACCCTGCAAGGACTTTTTTTACTGTTTTTTTGTTTTTTAATTTGCACCGAACCTGAGCGCACTGAGCGTAGTAACTTAATAAAACTTTCCTTTTCTCGAATTTCGCTTTATATTAAAAGTTATAGGCGAATTAAAATGACAAAAACAAGCAAAAAAAATAACCTACTTCATGGCGTCCTTGGTTGCTTGAGTGGCCGTGAACTAGCTCACGGCTGCCGCACTCCATGCCGTCGGCTCGAGAGGGCACCATTAAAGCATGTTCTGTATAGACCGTATGAAATGGGCAGCCAGAGCAGCTCGCATTGCATTTGCTGCGCGATTAAACACTAGTTCGGCATGACACTTCATTGGCCACAAACGACAGCAAACACGGGGTAAAGATCAGTTCAGAACGGAAGCCACTTCGCGCTGACATACCGCGAAACGGCCAAACAGCAAGCCAGACCTGCGCCGAAGGCCCTCGGAACGCCCGGAACCGGTCGGATCGTTGAGTCCGCAAACAACCGCAGCGCCGCCGCGAACATCCGAGACCTTTCTACGCTCGCCGCTCATCGGAGCCTGATCCCACTATTCCTTTCTAGTATGCACCGCCTTTTTTCTCGCTTGGTGGCGGGTATGTCGACGGGTCATTTCTGGTTTCCGGACTTAATAAACTGCGTTTGTTTCTTTTCTGATCTAAAATACTGGACAAAAACTGTTTTCATAAATAATTGAAACGGTTCGTGTCACTTATATTTTGTATTTCGACTAAAAAGAAGCTTTCAGCGGCTTTGGGCCAGTAGTAAGACCAGGACCTAAGACGTCACATTTCGCGCGCTTTTGGTACCGTGGGTCGCCTCCCTAAGTAGATTAGGTTTCCCCGTCGTACGGTTAAAATATGACGCGCTGATATTTAGTTACTCTCTTCATGCCCGCTGGTTTTCCCGAACCCCAAGAGACGTGGAAACCGCAAAAAAGGTAGACGCTGAAATATGATTGCAGGGCCCCTTTAAGAAGTACTTCTTACCAGCTTCCAGTAGATCTGGGTTTTGAACACGTATTATCTGAAATGTAATGAAAATCTTGTCTGCCCATAGGTGTCTCCAATTGCTGTGAGGATTTCCAAGCATGGAGCGTAAGAGTCGAGCTCCTCTCGTACAGCTCATTGATGGCGTCAGACGGTCCCCCTTCCTGAAGCCAACAGTCGTCCGCGAGGCCCTCAAGTACAAACCACGCGACGGGGACATAGTCCTTGTGGCGTACCCCAAAGTCGGATCCCACTGGACGCAACGCATCATCCAACTTCTCTTAGATCGCGGAGACGGCGCGTCAACCTACTCGGATTTTTTTCGACAAACTCCAGTTCTGGAATACCACGGTGCTACGGTCGTCGATGATCTGCCTTCAACGAGGTTCTTCAGGACCCATCTCCAGCTGCTCCAGAACAACTTCAACGACAAGGCGAAGTACGTGTATGTCGCTCGGAACCCATGGGACACGTGCGTGTCGCTCTACCATTATACGCGACGTGTACCCAAGCACCAGTTTGAAGACGGCACGTTCGACGACTTCTTTGAGGCCTTTGTCACTGGGGAGTTGGGCTTTGGAGAGTACTTCGATCATGTGCTCCATGGATACGCTCGGAAGGACGACCCGAACGTCTTCTTCATGACCTACGAGGAGCTGAAAGCAGATGCTCCCGGAATGGTTCTGAAACTTGCCTACTTCCTCGGCGAAGAGTACGGGAAGATGCTTGAGGGCAGCGAAGAGATATTTCAGGAGATCTTGATGAAAAGCAGCTTCGAGTTCATGAGCCGTGTGCTCGAACCTCGAGAGAAGGAGTTTTCGACACTCGTTGAAAATTCGTCTTCTTTTGCGGACAAGCTTTCCAGATCCAGACAAGAAGGACGCGAAGAGAATGACTTCAGGCTTTTTCGTAAAGGAAAGGTGAACGACTGGCCGGAACTTTTTTCATCAGATCAAATCCAACGCATGGAAGCCAGGATTGATCAAATGACGGAAGGAACGGACCTCATGAGCCTGTGGAACGTAAAATAAACCGTCATCTTACGTTTTTTCTTTGTTTTCGTAGGAGCCTTTTTGATAATCTTCAATAGATAGATAGATAAATAAACTATATTGGGCATTTAAGAGCTCGTTTTTTGGTGATCAGTCTTAGCTCTAATAATCGCACTACGCGAGTATCATGTTTTCCATTGCTCGTCGTCCAGATGAATAAATTCACATATAACAGAATTGTTGTCTGGATTCATAACCTAGCTTCCAAAATACATATGCTTACATGACTGATTTTTTCTACATTTTTCAACTTACAAGAATGTGATGGTAATGGTCGGCGAGATTTTCAGATTTTTTGTTTGTTCACGGCTTTGTCAAGAACTGAGCGGCATACGTTTTTTAGGGTTCTGTGAATATCGAATGCCGGCAACAGCAATGCATGTTAAACTTATTCCCCAAGGACAAACACGAGAATATTGTCGTAAACGATGTTTGAAGTCCACGAGCGCACGCACATATATATCTTTAACTCAAGAAACCCGGAGCTCGCTCTTGTAGCTCCTGTAAAGGATGGCTAAAAGAGCCCCGTTTTCTTAAATTACGTTGCGTTAAGGCCTGACCACACTAGCGACAACGGCGCCGCCGGTCGGTGCCGCTGGGCGGCACCGCCGTCCGGTGTCCCAAGGCAAGGAGGACCCGTTCACACAGTTGCGTTCGGAGCGACCACTACGCACGAATGCAACCGGTTGGAGCGACAAGTTACCATAGCAACGAAGCGCCAAACGGTCGTTTCGTTCGTGTTCGTTCGCAACGCAAGGAGTTGAGCCGGGCTGAACTTTTTCGTTACGTTCGGGAACGACGGGAGCGACAGACCAATCACAGGTCGAGGAGCTCGGTCGCGCGCGTTGCATGCCGGTCGTTTCAGGCTCCTTCTATTTGCAAACATGGCGTCGGTGGTGATCGTCGGCAGGACGGTGTGGTGAAGGCTCATCGTTCCCCGTAAAAGGGCTATCCTTGACTGTGAATTTTCGTCGTGTGTCGTTAGGATAACCCAGCACGTACTAGAAGGGAAGATCCACCTACTTGTGCGGCGATCTCGTGGCGGCACTCTCAAGACAGCAGAAACGCCCGTGCCGTCGTGTTTGTTTACTTCGACTACAGTGGTGCTTTCTTAGCATTTGTGTCCTCAAACATCACACGGATTTCTTTTTTGGCGCATTCCTTGCGTGTGCTCAAGTTCAAGGTATTACTGGTGCGTACCGTACAAAGGATGCGAATTTTTTACTCGTTTTCATCGCCCGAAAAAGGTGATTAGTGTTAGCAATCCTGAACGCTCGCATCGTCTGTCAAATTATATTTCTACGTTGCTATATCGTTGATAAGATTACATCGTGTATTATAATCGTAAAAAAGGCGTGTGGCGAGATTTGTACTGTTGGCAAAGTCGTGTATTAAAGTCGTGATCGTCCAAGACGGCGTACTGCATCTTTTTCTTTTTTTAATGCATGCACTACCCTGCAAGCGTATCCTGAAATAAAGAGTAATAAAGCTTGAGGTCATAGAAGACGGACTGTCTATTTTATGTTACGCAAGTGAGTGGCAGCGCGTCCCCTTCTTTTTGGAGGCACCGCTGAAACAGCTGACGGCAACGGAGAGGCGGTCGCCGTGCTGCCGACCCGCTGCGCTTGTTGCAGTGGTAGCAGGAGTGTACGCGCGGCGCAGAGCGATCGTTCCGGTCGCTCTGGTCACAACGGACGCAGTCGCGGATAACGGGTTCGTTTTAGATGTCTGAACCAGCATTTACACAGCTATTGTAGGCGCACAGCAGATCTTCGTGACTGTACGCCGTAGCCGAACCCTCGGGCTGCTCCGGTGAGGACCCCGCTACCCCGCGTCGAGCACGAAACCGTCCGCCATGTTTGTAAGCGTAGCTGGGTCGCTTCCTATTGGCTAGGAGCAGGAGCTGAAGCTCGTTTCTCATTGGCTGTTGCTTCGTATGGTTGCATGTGGTTGCATGTGTGTGTACACGTCGCGCACAGTTGTCGTTGAAGTCGCAGCGGTTGCATTCGTTCGTAAGCATAGTGGTCGCTCCGAACGCAAATGTGTGAACGGGCCTTTAGCCTCCGTTTGGCGGGCGTTAGAATCACGTGACAGCACTGGCTCTCGCGATTGCAAGCGCGCTCCCCGCCGGATTTCCCGCTCTTCCGTCGCCTGCTCTTCGTTATATTCTACCATTTCGGCTCTGAACTTTTGCATGTAGCAGCATCGAAACCGCACTCCCTGCCTACATGGTAGGTGTCCATGATGAACTGGTAATCAGTGCGAACATGATCATTCTAGCCTGCTCGTTCATCTTGCATCGTCGCCGCGCTCTGAACGGGAAGAGGCGCAGGTTTTGGGACCGGCCGAGGGGGTGACAAAAACACCGAGGCACAGGTCAGTGCATTGCTGTCCCGGCTGCGCGTTATTCCGAATTTCTCTTTTATAATTTCCCAGCGGTTGTGCTTAGCGTCCTTACCTAGGTAGTCTGGCTGCGTCTTGTCATGCAAAAAGCGAAACAGTCGTACGGTTTCAAAGAACCGTTACGTTGGGAAAGGCATTGGGGGAAATAGGGATAGCAGACGAAACGAAACAACGCTGCACTCCTTTACACCGTTAAAGACGCGCGGAGAAGCGGCTTGCGCGTTGCCGTTGCATCGCCACCACGCCATCTAATCCGCTTCCCATTGGCTGCTTTCTTCTGCGGCGAGGAATGGCGAGCTCGCATCCACGCACGGACAGGTTGCCGCGGCGTCGCCCAGCGGCGAGCGGCAAGCCTCTGCGTCGCTAATGTGGCCGGACCTTCACAGAACCTTTCAACGATATCGACGGCTAGTTTCCATGGCAACCGAGCGACGGAAGGTTCTTCGTAACATACCGTAAAGAGCTGAGTTCGGTTGAGCTTTTCCTTACGGGCTCATACGGAAGCTTACCTTGTACCAATGGGACGCAAAGAGGCGCGGCGACCACGCATGCGTGAATGGCTCCGCGACCAGGAGGGTTGCCAGGCTGGGCTTTAAATACCCCATTCGGGATATTTATGTTTGTATTTGGCGGGATAACCTGGTGGCTGGCGCTCTGGCAGTTTGGCTATCTTTGGGCAATTTCATACCCGAAATTTAAGCTATTTTAAGGCATTTGGTTTCAAAGCTTTAAACACGTATGGCATTCTTGAGCGAGGTAACAAACAAGGATAAACTCAAGAGAGTAGGAAAGAAAACTATCCGAATCAAAAGTGCGAAGACGCGATTATTTTTATCTGAAGTATTGCCGTCTGAAGTTTTTTTGGCGGGTCTTAATGCTGCTGTGATGTAACCGTGCTGCGCCATTTGTACTGAAAACTTGTAATGTTTGGTCTACTTTTTGCATCTTTTATGTCATGTATTATGTCATCAGGGTTCCAAAAATATATTTCAAATACCTCGCATGGAGTTGTGTATCTGGGCTATTTTTGTAGTTCTATATTTGGATTTGTTTGGGCTATATATCTCATAATAATTTGGCGGGTCAGTCTGCGAGTACCTGGCAACCCTGGCGACCAGCTGTGTTTTGCAAAATGGCGACGCCGAGCAATACGGCGAGGCCTTGTCGACGCCGGCGATGGAAACCCTGGTTTCTAACGTCTCGATCTGGATGCTGAAACTCGCTGAACATTCCTCAAAAAGGAAAAAGAAATTGAACCCATTGTGGCGGCAGAGGCGCACCGCGTCGCCGAAAAATCAGCAACATTGCGGCAAAAGCTTGCGCTATAATCTCCCCATCAACATTGCTGTCTGATTAGGCGATAGGGCCCTTAAAACGCAGTGGTCAAAAAGCTTTTGCATCACATTCAGGCTATCATGCGATATACTCAAAGTACTGCCAGGTAAAGACATGCCGCTAGAAGCAAGCATGCACACAAGAATGGACCCTTTTAACAAATTCAGTGTCATCTAGTTGCTCAAATATCACTCTAAACATTTTTGTGCTGATGGGGGTCAAACATAGCAACTTAGGCACTTAGGTAAGACACAAGCTACACTATCATCGTCTTTATCGGAACGATGAATTATCAGATT